TTTTCCTTGTCCTATTACTTTTCTCGTGTATGTTAGATTGTTTGCTGTTATGCTCCGATGCTCCCGAGGCTTCCGAGATGCTCTCTTTTTGACTTTCCTGAATAGCTTCTAATGGCAAAAACTTGTTTGCTGTTGAAATATCTACTCGTTTCCTAGTTTTTAGCTGAGATGCAGTAGTCTTCAAGCTTTCATTGTTCCGTTTGTGAGAAACAATTTGCCATCCATTTTCCTTAAAGTGAGAGTCAAGTACAGAGGAGTTGTCATTTTTGCATGTTTCTGCATTCTCTGGTGTTCTATTCTTCTTAACTGAATTAGTGTCCATAGAACAATGTACATCTCGTTGACTGTTATTATCTGAGACTTGAACAGCGGCTGATTTAAGGGTAGAGTTGTGTTTCTGTAAAAGCAATTGCTTCAAAAGGTTTGTGCTCAAGTAAATATAGTTACTGTTGTAGATTAGGTAGGCTATAGTTGCACGTTTACAAATAATATCATGATCATCAATTGTGTACTGCTGGAAATTAATTTCTATACTATGGATCTGTTGCGTAAGTATTGATTTTATGATCCAATCAACAAAAAACAACATAAATATCCCACAGTCAACCGAGTTATTTCCTTGCTGAGGGCATTTTACAATGTTTAATGCAGGTTCATTACATGTGACACCTTCTTGGGACTGGATGTATTTAGAAATTCTTGATACAATTGGCCTGGCCGAATTCATATTGTAATCACTGATAGAGTCAAAATAGTACCACGAGTTCTTAGGCTTTGAAAAAAATAGCAAACTCCAATGAGATCCATTACTGTTATTTGCTAACGCATCATTGACTGGAATTATTAAAAAAGATTTTTTATGCAGTTCTAGAGGCTGGACAACATGTTCAAAATCATCCAGACATTTAATAGCTTGGCTGATAACTGGATTTAATAAATATGTATCACTGCTACTTATACCCCCAATGATCTCGAAATATCTTTGTATAGTGTCATCTGTTAACCACTCTTTTTTCATCAGATCAAGACTCAATGATTCATTTTTGTTAGGTTGATTCTCATTTGTACTACATACTATTTTTTTATCAGTAATAATTGATTCTGGGATACTAACTATACTGCTACTCATGGACTCGGTAATTGTAGAATCTGTTAAACTCCCTCCATGGATCAAAGACTCAGATGAGTCAGATGTAAGACTTGTGTTGTTTTCATTACAATCAAGGCTTGCCTTAGAAATTTCATTTACAACCAATGAGTTAATATCTCGAAATTGTTCTTCATTGATGCTATTCAATGAATAATCTTTTATAGAAAAATTGAAATCCTCAATTTTCAAAGATAATTTATTATCCAAAATATATTTTGTTAACTGACTTGTGAAACGGTAATGGGATGATAATACATAGTTTATTTACAGTCTACAATTTATGCCAGAGGAAAATAAAATTGTTTAAATCCAGCTAGTCAAGTATTATAATTTAACTGTTATCTTTTAAAACAAGGTGATGAAGTTTTGAACAGTGTATGAAACAAAACTTTCACAGCACAATTAGTTTGATGTACACTAGACTCCCTCTTATCCGGACACCTTTTAACCTGATATCGCATGGTGTCTACTCTCCGGGAAATTCGGGAAAACCGGGAAACCTCCGGGAATTTTATCTTACCTTGAAATGTCCTGGAAAACTCCAGGAATCCACCCAAACCTCCGGGAATCCGGAGCCCAGTCATCGGAATCGTCGCCTAACCGAAACACTACCGCTTTTGTTGCCACGATCGCGTGAAACGATTATCGGTGTTGCCGAAACCGCAAGATATGCTCACGGGTATTGCCGCGATCGCAAGTGACGATTATCGGTGTCGCTGAAACCACGAGATATGCCTACGGGTGTTGCCGCGATCGCGGGAAACGGTTATCGATGTTGCTAAAACCGCAAGATATGCTCACTGGTATTGCCGCTATTGCGGGAGACGATTATCGGTGTCGCCGAAACCACGTGAGATGCCATTTTCTCATATGAGTACTTTAAAAGAAAATATACAATTTTAAAGAGTTTTTTACTAAAAAAGTTTTTTTACTGCGTGCTGTACATTTTTAAAGGTAGTTTCGATAATCCAGATTATTTGATCATTTTCTCTGATTACCGGTGTTGCCGTGATCGCGGGAATATGATTATCGGTGTTGCTAAAACCGCAAGATATGCTCACGAGTATTGCCGCGATCGCCAGAGACGATTATTGGTGTCGCCGAAACCACGTGAGATGCCTACGGGTATTGCCGCGATCGCAAGAGACGATTATCGGTGTCGCCGAAACCACGTGAGATGCCTACGGGTGTTGCCGCGATCGCGGGAAACGATTATCGGTGTTGCTAAACCCGCAAGATATGCTCACGGGTATTGCCGCGATCGCGGGAGACGCGTGAGATGCCTACGGGTGTTGCCGCGATCACGGGAGACGATTATCGGTGTCGCCGAATCCGCAAGATTTCCTCACGGCTATTGCCGCGATCGCGGTAGGCGATTATCGGTGTTGCCGAAACCGCAAGATATGCCTAGGGAATTGCCGCGATCGCGAGAGACGGTTATCGGTGTCGCCCAAACCGCAAAATGTGAATACGGGTGTTGCCGAGATCGTTGACGGTGTGACGTTTTGTCGCTGATGTTGAAGATACTGCAAGATATGCTCACTGATATTCCCACAATCGCGGGAGATGACAACTGCTGTCGCCTTACCTACCAGTTATACTGTTTTATTATGTTGTATAAAATATTATTCTTTGGAAATGTTTTGTTTCAAATAATAATAATCATTATTAATAATAATAATAGCCTAATAATAATCATTTTCATTTATTAGCGGGTTGCGATTAGTTAAACGGGTTCCGATAGTAGCTCCTTAAAATTCAGGAATTTGTCTTGAATTCTCCTGGAAAACTCCTTGAATTTTTCAAACCAGGTTTAGTAGACACCATGTATCGGTTTAATCGGAATACACTCGGCGGAAATTTCATCTATTTAACCGGACAATTTTTATCAGCACATTGGTTTATCCGGACTAGATAGGCAGGAAGTGGGCGGTACTGAAACGACCGTTCCCGTGGGAAAGATTTGAGACCAGTAATCACGTGTTTAAATACAATGCTCTCCTAAATTTAAGTCAAATACGCATTAAAAACCATCCGTTTTTAAGAGTTTTTGGGGATGTCGGTTAAACCGGATAAACCGTTATCTGGACTGGCCTCGGTCCCGAGGAGTCCGGATTTAAGAGGGAGTCTACTGTAATATCAATTTTTTACATTTAGTTCACAAATCTTTTGAAACATTAGTTTAACAAGCCTTAACATGGCATAGAGGTTAATAGTGTAATATAGGGAACTAGGGCCTAGGTTGAGTCCATATTAGTACTAGACAAACATTTCAAACTATACACAAAATCTGAATTTTATACTATAACTAGGCTACCATGATTTTCAACCAAAGAAAATTTCAGTCGGCAGAAAGATGTCTTTTATTAGTTCTTTATTGGTCCATTCAAGGAGTTGTAGTCTTTAATTAGTTCTCCATTGGTCCATTCAAGGAGTTGTAGTCTTTAATTAGTTCTCCATTGGTCCATTCAAGGAGTTGTAGTCTTTAATTAGTTCTCCATTGGTCCATTCAAGGAGTTGTAGTTTAGCTAAGTTTGTTGTTGATGTAAATTCCGAGAAGTTTAACATTTTGAAATGGAAGTTTTGTAAGGGAGAAAAGCCAGTCTTGTTCTGATTGCTACATGTTGACTGCTAAATGCTTGCTTCCGTATTGTTATAGGACAGATTACTTGCTGGGTGTAACGTGAGGAACCTCATGATTATGACGTTATCCTTTGTTTGGTGACATTCTGCTACTAGCAGCACCTTCTATTGTTTGAATTTGGCACTGCTGATTAGCAGCTTTTCAGTGCTGCTGTTAATCTTTTGGCTAACTACATCCATATATTAGTGTGATGTGCAAGAAATCCTTCCACATTATCCTTGCTACTATGTAACTCTTTATTTGGTTAGAATATAATCTAAACATTTTCTTGCACTCATCCTCTATCATTACTTGTTTCCACCCTTACATATCCACATCGATTCACACATCCAGTGTTAAATAAAAGTTTGAGGATGTTGATGAATTCTAGTTGAGATAGATGAATTGGGATCTTATTCATTCTATATCAACAGCTATATTCATCACACAAACTTACCTTTGGCATCGCTATCTATTTTGGCCCATCTTCAGTCAATTTGAATAGAATACTTATTCTTCAAAAGAGCCTAGCGTAGTAGGTTCAATCTGAATTTTGATGTCTCTGTTCAGCTAAATTTTTTAATTCGGATAATGACTGTCTGAAGACTATATGTTTTTCATTTTCATGCAATACATGTAAAACAATCATGAAAAAAACAAAAAATTAATGTTTCCAATTTCTAGGTTAGTTAACAACCACAATATGGAATAGAAATGAAATTGCCACTGATTTTTACAAGCTAGAATTTTTTTTAGAAAATTATATTGTGCGGATGTCAAATTTCCAGACCTCCTGTTGAACTTAATCACACAGATGACTAGGAGATGTTTAGAAACAAGTTTATAGTGTTACATGCCCTAGTGTTTTACCGTGCGAGCAAGACAGTTCCCATGCGAAGCGTAGCCGAATGGGGGATTTTCGTGCGAGTACGTCAAAGCTTACCGGGCAAGTAACGTACTATAGGCCTAAACTAAAAGTTGTGGACAACTTTCCAGCCTATCAATATGGATGGAAAACTACCTGTTTCTGTGTAGTATGATGTAAAAATGTTTATGATCAATCCATTATATGACTTTGATGAGCTGTAAGATTAAATTTATTTTCTCTATGGTAAGCTCGTTAATTGTGTGTAGGGTCTACCTGTGTTATTTTACATTAAATTTCAGGACTATGTCGCCATGAATTAGGTATTTTCCATTGAGTTCAATACAAACCGTCAATTGCAGGCAGTACTATATGTACGCTACAGACCCAAGCTGCAAGAGGGTTGGTACTCAATGCTGGGTGTACGGAGCCATCATGGCTACCGAGGCACTCCTCTGCTTCAAGAACGGACGAGAGTTGTTTGGACAAACACAAGCGACCAACATCTGTATCTGGCTACTGCTCATCTTCTTTCTATCTTGCCTGTGCGTCTACGGCTGCGTTCTGTGGCACAAATACTTTCAGGTTTGTGAAAATGAAAATAAATGATTGGAAATGCTTAAAGCATTTTGTTAAGTAAACAAATTTTAATCTTTTACAAGTATTTTGTTTAACAATTAATTACCTAATTAATAGTTGAAGATCAACAAAATAATATTCATGTAGTGTTTTGCTAAACAAATCATTTCATGGTTATACCATAAAAAATATGGCAGTGCCAAGAGGTTTGAGATTTTAATATTTTTTTTGAAGGTTTTTGTGTTACGAATCATTTTAGTAATCTGTGAATTGTACAAAAGTAACCAGTAGTTTGAAAGTTTTGTAATAAACAATTTTGTTCATAGGAAAACACCTTTACAAATGATTCTAGTTTATTATTGCAACAAAAAGGTAGCCTAAAACGTGATATCTCAGACTTTTTTTTTACATGAAACAGTAAAAATGCCTACACATTTTTTATAATAAGGCATTTTGGTAATTTTTATGAAGTTCTTGCATATTACTTGAAGTAGTAGTTTTTTCATACATTCATTTCAATTTTTTCAAGTGTAAAACTTTGATGAAGTACCAAGAGCAGGTGGATATAGAAATGTATTGAAAATAACAATCTTCCCTTTTAAATGATCAAGCATCTATTAAATTTCTTCTTCTTTAAACAAAATTTATTTTAAGATTACCTTACTGATTCTTAAAATTAAACGTGCTAATTTATTTATTAATTTTTAATCTTCAACATTACTTCCTTCATCCAATATAATTCAAATTTTACTTTTAAACTTTAGTTCCCTTTTTCTCAGTCATGAGAAAAAATTAACTTACATTACTAATGCCTTCAATGCCAATTTACCGAATAGGCACGGTAGGCACGTGCCTAGGGCGCGAGACAATTGGCTTTTTGGGGGCGCCAAAAAATTGGAAACTAAAAAAAATTGGTGGTTGTATTTGCATGATCGTGATAAACTTCTGATAATCCCTCCCGGCCGTGTAGACATGGTAACCGTCAAACGGGATTGAGGCAAAATTCTGACAATTTCCACGGTCGTGTAGACATAATTTATCGTGGCAATATATATGAACATATCCCACAGTCGTGAGGAGATTATCATCGTCTACCGCGAATGAGGCAAAATTCTGATCACCCCTCGCGGCTGTAAATACATCATTAATTGTCCCCCGCAGTCGTTTGTACATAGCAATCGCAACCCGCAATTGCGGCAAAATGGTAATCATTTCCTGCCATCTTCTGGAGATCATCATTGTGTTCCACAAATGAGGCAAAACTCTGATCTTTTCCCGCGGTTGTTTGGACATTATCATCGTCTTGTGCTATAGTGATAAAATACTGATCACCCCTCGCAACAGTGAAGACATCATTATATCGTCCCCCAAGGTCGTTTGTACAAAGTAATCGCCTCCCACGATTGTGGCAAAATGGTAATCATCTCCCATTCCCTCGTCGGCCATGTATTGTATAGTAAAGATCATCGTCTTCCGCGAATGAGGCAAAATTCTGATATTTTCCCCCGGTCAAGTAGACATTATCATTGTCTTCCGTGATCGCGGCAATATTCGGATCATCCCTCGTGGCTTTGCTGATATCATCATCGTGTTCTGCGATCGCGGACAATTCTGATAATCCCTCGTGGCCCTGTGTAGACATATTGTCGTCTCCCGCGATCAGGGAAATGTCACTGTTGTCATTCGCGATGGCGGTAAATTGACAATTCCAGGAGGATATACAAAATTCACGCATAATTTCCGATAAAAAAAAACTCAAACATAATTCCCGGATTCCCGGTCGGGGGATACCCTGTATATATATTGCAAACTGTTAAGGGTACTATTAGTTGTGCCTAGTGCCCTGGCAGGGTCAAAAACAGGCCTGAATGCCTTAAAATTCTTAATCGATTTCCAGAAAAGAGAGGACATGTTAATATTTAAAATAAAACCAACTAAATTAAATATGTTAATCAACAAAAAAATGGCGTAACCGACAAAAATAACTAACTATGAACTACTGTCAATTGTAAGAATTGAAAAGCACAAGTGTGACTGTACAAGAAGGGTGAATAGGTTTTGTCTGATCAAGGTGACCCTGTGATGACTGAAAACTATGTGTTTCAAACAGATCAAAAGTAAAATTTGAATTATATTGGAAGAAGGAAGTAATGTTGAATATTAAAAATTAATATATGAATGAGCACATTTAATTTTAAGTTAAGAATCAGTAAGGTAATCTGTAGGCCTACTGACGGTTTACCCTGGCCAATCAAATGTTGTCTCATTTCCTCACAAGATCTTGGACATTTTCTGACTTTTCTGGATCTGTCAAAATTAAAAGTGAGATTTTTTTAACATTAATTAAATTAGTAGAAAAAAAACTTTTTAAAGTTGTAACAAATATTACAAAATATAACATGCGACCAAGAATATCATTGCAATAATTTTGCATTGGAGCTAAATATTACTCTCAAGCTAAATTATTTTTGGTGTACTAACATTTAATCTTTGCTTGAAGTGTTCATTAAACAAATTCACAGAGCTATGGTAAGTAGACCTATATTTAGTTTTTCTGGGCATTTTACTAATATTATAGCTTTGACTATTAATACAACAACATTATAGGCTATAAAACATTTGAAAAAATATATTGCTCGTTTAAATTTAGGATAGCATCAAATAGCTTATGTACTGTCCAAACTATGTTTGATAGTACACCTTGACAATATTATATTTGAGCATTAAAACCCTGCTTTTTGTGCTGTTAAAATGTAAAAGCTCGATGGATCATTTTATAGAACTGTGTGTGCCAATAAACACTTACTACTGTAATTGATTTTCTGAAAAGATGCCTAGGACTGCAGTAGCCTCGCTCTCATTCAGATTCCTTTGATTCCGACAGTCACAAACATATGACTCACACAAGCGTTGTGCTGCTTCATAGCCACGTAAACAGGAAACACACAAGTACCTGTGTGTCCAGTGCTGTACGAATGATATTACAGTATTCATTTACTGCTAAGCAGAGAACTAGCTACACACCAGTTGTTACTCGTTTTGTTTCATGGTGCAAAGTTTTGTACTAATCTGAAGAGAAACCAGTGTCAAAATTTCCGAATGAGCGGGGGACTACTGTTGATGGAAACATTAATAAGCAAATACCCCCATCACAGAAACCTGTACAAAGCAAATTACCACTTGCCTGATTTCAATTCTTATATTAATAACATTAGGTTTAATGAGTACTTAGGTTTGCTGTTATATTGTAGGTAATGTGCTTTTCAGTGAAAAGTAGAATTTACATGTTTGTAGCAAATTTTTCCAAGATCGGATGACTTCTACTCGAGTTATCGTCCTAAGAGACACATGTGTATGTGTATAAATTTGAACGGATGGTGTTTTTTGGATACTGAAGAGATAAAAACAAAAAAATCTGTCCTGGGTTTAAGTCTTACTATGAGACCTAAAATAATAGCTTATTTGTAAGGGAAATTCGCTAAGAAGAAAGAAATCGATTTAATTCTTAAGTTTTTTATTGGTAAAGTTTAAAACATTTGATTTAGGTGTAGGTGCATTGGTAATGTACTAACTATTGTGTTGTACAAGCAAATTTAGATTTGCCGTTAATTAGTCATTCTAAAATTAAAAAAAAATAACACTGAAATCTAAATAGATATTGTGTTAGTTCCATAGTAAACAATACAACACGAACACAGCTTTTGAAAAAGGTATTTTTTTCAATAGTTTCTGTAGGGGTAGAACAAAAATACCTAATACTTTACCATTATACCTTTATTGTAAAAAGACTAAACTATTTTTCACTCTAGTCATCTGATTGTCTTGTTATACTAAAACAAGTTGGACACTAAAAGTACTACAGTAGAGTCTCAATCATGCGACCTGAATCAACTGTGACAAAGTCGAATAAGCAGAAAAATCAGGTGACAAGGAAAATAATGTTGAAAACCATAATACAAATATTAAAACTCATTCCCGTACAGTAAAAGTCTGCGAATCGGGCATCAGACGAGGCAAACACTTTCAATAATACAGCATCGGTAAAAGACTAAAAAATTTTAATTGATGTTTTAAGCCATATTAGTGTGTTTGACAAGAGTAGGCAGTGATCAGCAGAGTTGGGAACAGTTTGCAGACATCAGGAGTGAACTGGAGGAGTTGGTTGGGGTGAGGTTCAAAATATCCAAATTTCACAAACTCCAACGTCTAAAATCTTAAATAAACATTGCGTTTCATAACCTCCAAATTTCATAAACTCCAAAACTATAACTTTCAAATAAGCACCGTTTCACAATGTCCAAATTTCACAAGCTCCAAAGTTAATATATTAAATAAACAGTGCGTTTCATAAACTCCAAAACTATAACTTTCAAATAATCACCGATTCACAATGTCCAAATTTCACAAACTCCAACGTTTAAATATCAAATAAACAGAGCGGTTCATAACCTCCAAGTTTCATAAGCTCCAACGGTACAGTCTCTGCCAGAAGTCGCTGCAGAGGTTGCTGTGGTTCGGTATGTAGGCGCTACACGTCTACTGTTGTAGCGGCGCAACACGAAGCATCATTGTTGCTCCGTAATTGCTTTCTTAAGAGTATAAGTATATATTCTTAAGAGTTCCCATAGTCCGATTATGCTGGTTCGCGAACTCGTTCGGATAAACGTAGGTTTACACGTTTGTACCAAATTTCATCAAAATCGGATGATTTTTGCTCGAGTTATCGCGCTAACGGACACACACACACACACATATATATGAATTTGAACTGATGGTGTTTTTGGTCTCTAGGGACCTCAAAACGAAAAAGTAAATCGGTCCCGGGACCAGGTCTTACCATGAGTACTATGGTAATAGCTTGAAATTCGCTAAAATGTAAATTTGATTTGCACATTGTGTGCTAACACATATTTGAGTCACACAGCTGAATGTTCTTCAATCATTAAAATGTACGTATAATCAGTAGTTGAGCGCTGGCGAACGGTGCCTGCTATCTGACTGTGGCAACCACTAGAGACTTCTGGCCCAGACTGTACCGTTGGAGGTTATGAAATTTGGACATTATGAACCGCAGTGCTGTGGTCTGTGGTACTGTTTATTTGGTATCTAAACGTTGGAGGTTGTGAAACTTGGACATTGTGAAACAGTGATTATTTGAATGTTATAGATTTGGAGCTTATGAAATTTGGAGGTTATGAACCGCTCTGTTTATTTAATATTTAAACGTTGGAGTTTGTGAAACTTGGACATTGTGAAACAGTGATTATTTGAATGTTATAGTTTTGGAGCTTATGAAATTTGGACATTGTGAAACGCGCTGTTCATTTAATATTTTAAGCGTTGGAGTTTGTGAAATTTGGAGTTTATGAAACGCTCCCGTTGGCTGCACTCCTTTGAAATAGAGGGTGTTGTATTTTATTTTGATTTATAATTTTTTGCATTTTATATTATTACTATATTATTATATATTATTATATTAGATCCCCAGAAAACTAATAAAACTAGTAGAAATGTCCTTGAATGAATCAAAATGCAAAGTAAAAATAGATGGAGAGTTATCAGAAAGCTTTGAAGTAAGAACAGGCGTAAGGCAAGGTGATGGAATGTCACCTATACTATTTAACATAGCCTTAGAAGAGGCCCTCCAACAAGTAAGACAAACAAATATAGGTTTAGAAATGGGAACAAAAATAAACATCCTAGCTTTTGCGGACGATGTAGTAATTCTGTCAAAAAACAGAAATGACCTAGAGGAGCTAACCAGACCGTTCATAAAAAAAAATCAGAAAAAATGGGCCTAAAGATTAATGATGAGAAGACAAAATATATACACTTCACGAGACAGCCAAATGAAGTGAGGACAAATGAAATTAGTATAGATGGACATACTTTTGAAGTTGTTGAACAATTTAAATATCTAGGGGTAATTATATCAAGCAGCAATAGTGAAGAAATGGAAATAAATTATAGGATTGCTCAGGCCAATAAATGTATGTATTCTTGTAAGAAATTGTTGACTTCAAAGATTCTCTCACATAAAACGAAAATAAAAATATATCATAGTATAATTCGACCAGTATTAACATATGGAGCTGAAACTTGGATTTTAAATAAAAAAGAAGAAAACAAAATGATTGTTTTTGAAAACAAAATTTTAAGAATGATATATGGACCAATACAAGAAAATGGAGAAGGGAGAAAAAGGCATAATAGGGAGATAAGGAATATGTACAATGATTATGATGTAGTAGCACACGTGAAAGCAAGGAGAATAAGGTGGGCAGGACACGCACTACGGAGAGAACGAGGTTCACTACTAAAAGAAGCAAGTATAGGAAAGCCAGAAGGGAAACGACCATTAGGAAGGCCCAAGAAGAGATGGTGGGACAGTGTTTCCAAGGACGTCAGAGAAGTGGGGGCAGAAGTGGAAGAGGCAGAAGATCGAGAGAGATGGAAAGCAGTTGTTGGTGCGGCCAAATCCCGCCTTGGGCATAAATGGCCATGGGAGTGAGTGAGTGAGTATTATTACTCAAATAAAAGGACAGTACAAAATGGCCTGTCAGCCAACAATTTCCTTTTGAGGCTGAAGATTGGCAGTGTTTTCGTTTTCGCTAGTTAAAAAAACGGCTGTTTTTAGAAGACAAACTGGACACTGTTAACAGATAGTTTCTTTGTTGTCGAACCTGTTTAATGTTTTCAGTTTGGTTTTTTGACAGACGTGGGTGTCATTTGGGGTTGTCTCATTGTACTTGTCACAGTGTTTAGTCTGATCACACTATTACCACTCAAACATCCGCAGGGAGGGTCGGATAATGGAGACTCTACTGTATAACAAGAGTTAGTAGCTCTACTGGTCGTGGCTGCATCGTCAGTTGTGAGTACAGGTTGTGCATGTGTGTGTGTTTGTTGACAGACGGAGAGTATGTACTCTAGAGAAACTTCTCCCTGTAAATCTCCATCCTCGGATCTCTCAGAGAGCCTCTCAGAATCCAGCCAGGCCAGCACAGCAAAGACAGGTAAGTAAATCACTATCTTCATAATTAATTAAGGGTTTCAAGTTTAGGATAATTGGTTAAATTATCCCTATTTTAATGACCTTCCTCACCTTATGATAATAAAAGAATTTTCTTTTTACTAACATTTTACACACAGTAAGAAAGTCTGTGGTTTTAGTAGGATAGCTCTTTTACTCCAAGTTGGTAACTAAGTTGGAACTTGTCCATCTTGTTCATCATGGAGTTCATCATCAACGGTAAAATTCATTTCCGTTCCACGTCTTGAGCTCTTTAGCCAAGGTCATACTGAGAAGTGCAACACAATTACAAGATTACTAACATAATGGTTTAAATACCTTCAGTCTCCAGTCACCAGTTCAAAGTAAGCCAATTTCTGCAACCTAGATTTCAGCATGAATTTGCTCTATCATCAGTCAGTCAACGTTCAAATTGTTCAGTCCATTGGACGTTTAGTTAAAACTACACACAGATTACACAAATATGTATACAAACAAAAATAACATTTACCAATCGGTATTTAAAAAAAGAAAGACAAATAAATTTTGTAAGTTTTCACCGGCCCCGACGGGTGACATCCAAGCCACAACTCCTGAGTCTAAGCAGAACTTTAGGAAAAGTTTTTTAATGCCATAAATTTGAAATTGTATATTAAAATATTTATTTTAGGAGATTTTAACAGGTTTACTTACATGAAAGTGTTAGTGAATCTATTCAACCAAAGTTAGCAGAGAAAATACAGAGATATGAAACAAGAATCAAGATTTCCATGAAGATTGCAGATATTTACATTAACAAAGAATGCATCAAGAAGAAAATAACACCCACAATATGCTAAAGTCAAGATCCAGTATAACTCCATTGTTACAAAAACAACCAAGGAAGGAGCAGAGATATTCATGCAGAACCTGATCAAACAAATTAACTGTGAAACGTTTTTGAATAATATTTCTTTTTGTTTTATCTTATTTCTTCAGGCATGAATAACACAAAAACTGTATTTATTGTGGGTGTTTAGAGACTGATAACCCTTGTAATGTTCCAGCCCTGCATTTTAGCCCTGAAAGCTTCCCTGAGGATTTGAGGAGAAGAAGGCAGGTTAACGGAGTCAACACATCCTAGTTTCCTAGGCTCTAGTCATCAGTTTGGTTACCTCGTTAATAGTCATTTGTGTGCAACTAACACTGTTGTAAGAAGGTAAGACGGAAATGTTACATTGAACAAAAATATGTTGCTACACCACCTGCTTTTAAAGTTATAATTACTATTGGATTTAGATATTGAAGTAGACATCTCATCTCTATAGAATAGCTGTAGCCAATTTTTTACTTAAAAAATAAAAAGCCATAGTTCATGAGTTCAATGAACCTCTTAACAGAGTGTGCTATGGTCAACATTCTATTTCCCGCTTAAGCTTTTGTTGCTGTGATAGTTGACAAGACGAAGACATAAAGACGACTACAGTTTACAATAAGATGTCCTGTAAACAAATTTGTAGGTTTGGTTCAATTTTGACATCAGGAATGAGATGTCCACGTCTATCAATAGTAATTGGGTTTACCATATACTGCGGGAGAATATCTGACTTGAAACTGCGACATTGTCATTTTTTAGTTCAAGTGTTAGTGTTAGATGAGTTATATAGATACTTGTTTTAAGTAATTTTGAGCATTAAGTAAAATGACTTGGTGACGAAATTTAGTATAGTAGAGTTTTGATTATCCTAATAGAACCAAACACACAAGTTTAGTAGGTAAGCATAAAGTTTTATACATGGGAAAAACCTAACTCTCTCTCAAGATGTTAAATATTTTAAATCATTGAAAACCATTAAAATACAGGTTTAATAATGAAATGTAATGTAACAAGTGCATTGAAATAGAATAAGGCCATTTCAACGGGGTGAAAAAGTTTGTGGCTGCCTTTTGCTTTTCAATTTTATAATATTGATGTAAAATCCTGCAGTCTCATTACAAGTAAAACTTTGTTATACATGTTTAAACTCTAACTACTCTGGATATTTCAAAGCACTAAGAGTTAAGTTGTATTAGAGATATACAAGATTTGACAAACCATGTAGTATGCAAGGTGTGGAAAGGAAACATGGAAAGAATAAGTATTGGGGTCTTAAGCCAGAGCAGAGTTAGAGGGCTGTGAATGGAGTTGCCTCAAGCCCTTTCACTGCCCTGACAGTGTACAATATACCACACTTAAACAGTCCCTCAGAAAGAATTGAGTGACATGGAATGTCAGATAAATGAAAATTAGATAATCATGACTCTACTGTAGAAGAAACAGGTTTTAAAATGCACCGTTGAACCTCTATAGGTAGATTTAGACTTATTCAATCACACTTTAACAGTTTTTATGCAGGGATTCAGTGTAGTGTCAAAATCCCACTTGTTTAATGGCTCTAGCTGTCAATGATTTTGCTGTTGGAACTCTCTTATATCCAGTGGTGTAGTCGTAAATATCCCAGTGCTGGTTCACCCTCCATTGTCTCAGAAAAGACACATGTTGTCTATAAATTATAGGATTTTGGAGAAAGCAGAGGGGTAAACTACTCATACCCATGCACCAATATTCATTCATATCCACTACACCAACTATAGCTTGTAGAAAAAAACACTGAGGTTGCCACAATTTTAAAACATTTCAGAAATGTAAGTCTTAGATTGTATCTCTTTAAATTTTCCATAGTAAATGATCTATAAAGTAAAATTTATAGTTTTATAATTTTTGAATACATTCTTTGTATTTATAATTTTTTGTACCTTTTTCTCATCAACTGTTTAAATATTGCTGTTACATCTTCTATTTTTACTATTTTCACCATGATTGGATTGATGATTTTGAATAAAGATTTTGAATAGGAGAAATTTGATCCCTCGCATCAGTAATCTTTTCTCAAAATTATATTTTTGTGAATGGATGTTTTTGAGTAGCTAAATTTAAATAAAACTTTATACATTCTTTAAAACATACAACTATAAATAATATTATTATGTGGCATTACATTTTTTTAAGTGTTGAATGAATTTACATTTTCTTAAAGATAAATCAAAATAACTTGATGGATATGTTATTAAATATGAACTCTTTCAATGAAGAATCAATACTTGTTTTATCAATAAGATTGAGTTATTATATTAAACGATATTATAAGTGTGTTAAGTAAGCTGCGCTAAGCATATTTAATAATTGTTTCATGTCTATTTTACCAAAGATATTTATATATTTGAACCCTTCCCCTTTTCACCGATGCTTTTCTGTTCAATTTCGGCCACTAAAATAACTATCTCTTGTGTACAAAGTTGGGAGGTTAATTTACTTATGTTAGTTGATATAATGGGAGTAACTGATGCTTACCTTGATCCTTGGCAGTGCAGTCAAGTGTAAAAGTAACTGTATGTTAGTTTATATTATTAGTGGCCTCAATTTCATAGAAAGGTATCAGTCATTAATTAGGTTTTGCTTTTATGTATATGCTGTTGATATGCTTACAATAAGTCAGTTGTATTAAAATACCAACCGTTCAAATGTCCACATATTAGTTACATTCTTGTATAAATACTCTAATGGTTAGTTCAAGTTGTGTGAAAGTTAAAACATGTTTTGTACAAAGACTTGTCTAGCAGTCTGAATATATGCTTTCCAAATTTGTTATTTCTGATGATTTTAGTCTTGTTTGGTGAATTGATAGCTCAGTCGGTAGCGTCATGGACTTTGGGCCCAAGGCATCAATGTCATGGGTTCGGATCCTATCCTAGTACCTGCCACTATTTTTTTATATGTACACTTAACCCTTGTACTGTACCGGCTCACTTCTTACTTTGCTGGTGGGTACATTCCATTCACAAGAGTCTATGTGGGCGGGTATATGCAAGGTTAAAAGAGGCCTCCTTTTTTTAAAGTCACTAAGTTTTTACTAAGTAGCCTCTAATTTCATTTTGAGTTTTTTTAATAGAACAAAAGAAAATGATTTTTATTTTATATATATAATTCCCTTTTTCGAGCTAGTGACAGAATTAAAAAAACAAACTTTGCCATACCACATGTTCATGGAATGATATTTTAGTTTATAATTAATTGCAAAAATCCTAATATCTAGTACTGATTTTAAAATTGTTTACACTATTTTTGTATTTAGAGAACACTCTTTTAACTGGGTGTTTTATGAGTAAAACTTTATTATTTTAATAATGAGTTTCTTGGTTCAAAAGACTGATGGATAATGTCATAATTGTCAAAAATTAATACTATAGGTACATATCCTATTTTTTTGCTACTAAAATAGTTTGCGCAAACACAATGTCTTGGGTAATTCTGGAAGAATTCAAATGAAATTCGAAGTACAGTTTTGTTACAGGTTGTAGGTTTGTACTAAGAAACATTATTATTATTAACAATTTACGAATTTAGTCAGGGTTCCGCCCAACAGACTTTTCATCAAGTTTCGATGTTGTAATTTAAACAAGTGGTGAGTCAAACCAAGACTAAAATATCAAAACCACTGAAAACTCTTTGGTTATATTTTTAAGTTTGATCAGAGTTTGAAAATAAAAATTTTTTAAGATGGTTAAGCTGGAAATAACACTTGTATAGTTTTTTTTTTAATTAGTTGGTGGGTCATGAACAACAGAGTTTAGTGTGTAATTTTTATATTTGGTATTTTTAGGTCAGAAATGAAGCAGAACATGTTTCATCAAGAATTATTGACATACATGTTCAAAATACTTTTATTAAAGATCAATACATATATGTATTCTATTGTATGATATTAACTCATGATCAGTGATTTGTATAGGATTATAAGTAAGCCATATTGTAAATAATATGATTATCACATTGTGAACCTGTAATTATAAAAATATAATCTCATTTTCTGTGATACATTTAAGGTTGAAGGTTATTCAGTTTAGCACAAACTCTGGACCTGGTTTATTACAAAACCCATAGTTTTATATGTCTGAAAAATGCTCTGACTGTGAGAATTTGAACAACCCAACAAAAGAAATAAATTAATATAAATATATTTTATCACAGAGATTTTTTCTTGGACATAGGTTTCTTAGATAGTTCATTGTTACAGGTTTAAAAAAAAATTTTAAATCACTGTGACACTCACCTCCTCAATCAACTAAAGAGTACATTTTTCTCATATCGCTTTAAAAATAGGGATAGTAATCTTATTCAAAGCACTAGAATACCTGAATAATAGTATAATAGTTTATTACTTTTGCCTGGTATTAGTTTGGCTATAGAATAACCTTATTCTAGTGCCGTCTTTAACTAAATTATATTGATGTTTTATTGTAACTGTTATTGTATATTTGCGGCATACTAAAATCAACAGCTATCCTGGCTCATTGGTTTACACTATTGTTGGGTATTTAACTATTGTTTATGTTTGTTAATTTTCTCCCATCTATATATTCAAAATTATTGGTTTTTCTTTTAGAGTTGGTTCAGCTCTTATACTCATCTGATTTTCATAGTTTTGGTCTTAAATTAAAGGTATGCATGCACAGATTTGCCATTAAGCATCCACATTCATTTATCTGATGTATATTTTGAGTTATGCACAAAAGCAACTTCCTACGGTTACATTTCTTATGGGAGTTAAATTTGGCGTTTCTCTTCCGAGTTCGTTTGGCTCTTCTACCCAACCAATTTTCATCATCTTGGTTTTAATAAAAATTAAAGTTATGCATGCACAGATTTGCCATCAAGCATCATCATTCATTTATCCACTGTATTACTTGACCAAAAAACAGAATTTGATTTTTTTTTAAGTTCTTACTTCAACTAAAGATGTACAGGGTGAGGCAGTGAAACGGCACGATTCCGATACCAGTTGACAAGGAATTGGGGGCTATTTAGAGTATAGGGGAAATGACCATAGGCGTCTAGACAAGTGGAAATTTCAGTAGCCACGGAGCGTTGGACGAGGGCACAACACACGTTTGCTGTAAATACATACTACAAAAACGTGGATATTATGGTTTGTCCTCAGCGCAATTTCTGTTGTGAGTTCAGACCATCGCCGCGGTCTCCCTTGCCTTCAAGGAAAGTTGTCCTCCTCTTGGGTGAATAACTTTGAAGCCACTGCTAGTACGACAAAGCGCTATAAAACGATTGCAGACGTTATGCAAACGCTAAAAAACGTCATGGGCTGATTTCAATTCACATTTCAACAATGTTTGCAAAACCAAGTATGTTATTTTACTGATTACAAAAAATAATTATTTTTAAGCTGAAACATGTACTAAGGATTTATGTTAAAACAACTATCCATTTTTTCTAAATGAATTATTTGTGATTTTTCAAAATCGTGCCGTTTCACTGCCTCCCCCTGTATATCACCAGTTCTAATTACATTATCCTATATATTCTGGTCTTAGAACCTTCAGTGAAATACCAGTTTCATTTGAGCTATTGATTATTAAGATCAGACGTACCTGAAGCACTCTGCTGAATCACGAATCATCAATAATTATTATTTGAGGACTTATCTGTAATCTATGATACGTAACTCCATTTTTATTTAAGTTATTTTATATGTCTTGGTCTTAGTTAAAACACTCCTAGAAATAATGGCTCTCATTTGATTTTTTTCATTTGTATTTTTTCTCAGAAGTTTTTTTTTTGTAAAACTGGCTGTGACATAAATGTCGGAATGGAATGTTCAGTTCACCGTTCCGTGAATAGACAACAGACATTTCTAAAAGCCTAACCGTGATTTTGTGCTAAACTGAACAGCTGTACTTGCTCAGTTTCAAGACCTTCTCGGATCTCTAGTATGGCTTGTACTGTAGGTTCATTGTTCCCAGGTGTACAATCAGCTGTTGGACAGTGATAATGCATGTAAAAAATATATAGTTTTTTACTTTACTGTACTTACGGTCTGTCAGCCGTTAAATGCTGTATATCGTCAGCATTTGTTGCAAGTTCTCTTGTTCATTAGTTGTTGTATTATGTGTTATTGTTGTCAATTTTAAAAAGCCTGTAATTAAAGTTGGAAAAAACAGTGTGATTTATTTAATACACCTTTGTTCTGTGTAGAGTTTTTAAACTTTTTTACAAAGTTGCATGAGTTTAAATTACTCTTTGATAAAACAAAAATAAAAATTAATAACTGGCCAATTTAAACAACCTCCTGTATTAATTACTTATTTTGGGCTGATGAAATTTTCCTACAGGTTTAGTGAGTTATTTAATTTTTTTATGATAAATCTTTGATCATAACATTTTATAAACTAACTTTTATAAACTTTCTTGAATTAACTATTGTTACAAAAATTAATGAACCTTAAAAAATTATAGAATATAGCTATTATTACACAAAATGCTGGGTGGATCCTGAGAAAGGTCTTAAGCTTTTTGATAGCTGTAGAAAGTGGACCTTGCTGTCACCTGCTATGGGGGTTTTTTTAATAGTCCTAACTAAAGAAATAGCTGGTCTTAGCAACAAAGCTATACAAAGCATCTGACTGTTATTAGGGTTATCTTTCTTCCACAGAAGATACCGGTAAATATTTGGTGTGTTAAGCGATTTTTTTTTTAAATCCTCAACAATAAAAATTAAACTGTAGGCTATAATTGTTGTTCAAGTGATCACCTGAACCCTACAAAACCAACAATTTAGTATATCACATGATTGTCCTGCACTATTTGGTAACTGAGATATTTAATTGCTAAAGGCAGTAGACCTACCATAACATTGTTGACTGTTAATTGTTGTAGTTTGCTTGGATGTGGAAATATATGGATAACATTTGGAAAAATGAGCTATTAACATTTCACTTTCACAGGCCCTATCTTTCTTATATCAGGAAATTTAAGTTCTATTTAGACCTAATGCTGGTCAAATATTCCCCAAGTAATAAATCTAAATCTAAAATGTTCAAGGAAATTTAATGAAAACACAATCAGGCATGGAGTTTCAGTCAGTCTGTAGGTTCACTACAACATGGATATCTCTTTATTTAACTAACAAAGGAAGGTCAAGTAAATTACAAGTAGAGTTTGCCTAAGTAAATCACTGCGAAACTAAACGGTCATTTATTCCTTTGATCACTCTTCTTAACCATTTATTCTTAGCCCTTACACTCAAGGCTTTGTTACTGGTCCAGTCCCCGTCCTTTGGGCAGTTGACTTCCTCAGGGAGTTTCCGATGAATACTAACTTTATCATCAGTTTCATGAATGGTTTGATAGGATATGAATCTTTTAAAACATTGTCCATCTTTTGTTTTAAACACAAGTTCAAATTCTTTTATTGTCGACATTAAGGTAAGCTCCACCAAGTTAATGTATATTCCCTCAACTCCGCTGTTGCAAGTGTCAAGATATAACTTTTCCAAGACTAAATTATTCTCGTACATAATAAGTCCTGTTGCCAAGGTCGAATCTTCCTCTGAGCTTTGTTTCTTCTTGTATTGTTGGCACTTGAGCTTGAAATCAAAAAGGTGTCCTTCAGCTTGAATAGTGAACTCTCTAGGTTCACCAACAGAATCCATATTTTTGTTGAAATCCAAGATTTCGTATTTTCCCGATGATAATAAATATCCTATAAAACACAATGAAGTTGTTAAGAAAATCCATATTTTTATTAATCCTTTTGAACAAAAACAAGCACATGCTTTAAGTTTAAATATTTCAATAGGTGCAAAAACAAAAACCACACAAGGTTGTTTTAACAATCATAATGCAACTTTTTCCAAAATTAATATACAGTATACAGGGTGTTTGTGAACTCTCTCGAAAAAATTCACAGGATTATTCCTTGGGTTAATACATGAATATTTTACATTATAAACATGGGTCACCGGAGCCTCGTTTTCCTTCTGTCTGTCTGTCTGTGTTTTTTATAAATAACCTTATAACTCGAGTTTGAATCAAGGTACAAACTTTAAATTTGACACACTTGTGTAGTTTAACGTGGTACACAAACATGCAAAATTTCATTTCGTTGACTATAGCCGTTTCAAAATGGCGGCCATCTAAAATCTTTGACCTCAAATTACATGAAAACCACTAGAGCTACAAAAAAAACTCAGGAATAACAAAATGTTGAAAATTTTATGCCAAATCAAATGACACATAGATCTTAAAGATCAGACAACAAACAGCTGAGTTATTAATTTTTTAAATAATTAATAATTTCTTTACTGGCTTCTAAGTGTTATTGTTTATTCATCAAAATCATCTGATACAGAGTACATTACGTAACCTTAAACAGATCTCAATAGTTAAGGTAAAAATAGGACACTTAATACATTTACCATCTAGTAAAAAAACTAAATGTTGTTGTTAGGGCAAACCAGCTGTCTTACATTGTTGTAACAATTTAGAAAGGATCAGATGATTTTAAAGAATAAACAACAATTAAAAGCCAGTAAAGAAATTATTAAGTATTTAAAAAAATTAATAACTCAGCTGTTTGTCGTCCGATCTTTAAGATCTATGTGTCATTTGATTTGGCATAAAATTTCCCACATTTTGTTATTCTTGTGTTTTTTGTAGCTCTAGTGGTTTTCATGTAATTTGAGGTCAAAGATTTTAGATGGCCGCCATTTTGAAACGGCTATAGTCAAAAAATGAAATTTTCCATGTTTGTGTACCACGTTAAAATACACAAGTGTGTCAAATTTAAAGTTTGTACCTTGATTCAAACTCGAGTTATAAGGTTATTTATAAAAAAACACAGACAGACAGACAGACGGAAAACGAGGCTCCGGTGACCCATGTTTATAATGTAAAATATTCATGTATTAACCCAAGGAATAATCCTGTGAATTTTTTCGAGAGAGTTCACAAACACCCTGTATATTTACATCAAGATCAAGAATCAGTCAGAAGTCAAGGCAGTTTTGTGAGTGTCTTATGCTGTTCCTCTGAGAATTATGATATGTTGACCTATAATTTGAATTATTAACAATAACAAACCACTGTTACTGGATTCTAAATCGCACAGTGGCGTCATTTCACCAAATCCTTGGTGGGGGGGGGGCAAACACTGGGGGGGGGGGTATGGAATACCCCCCAGCAAACGGAGGGGTCTAGGGGTCCTCCCCCGGAAAATTTGGCAGTTTTGAAACAAAAATAGGGGTTTAAGCTTATTTTAACCGTCAAAAGCACTTCGAATTAAAAAAAATTTAGTAAAATTGATTTTAATTTAGCAGAAAATTAATGAAACTAACAATTATTGACAACAGACAGAAACATAGTAAAATGTTGGTAAGTTAGTCATCTAAGAAACGTGATGAATAGTTCCATGGTGTATTAATATTATTTTTGTTATTAGATCTATGACCAAATTCTCTTGTACAACATTTAGACCTATAGCAATGAATACGGTTGTATTCATAGCCTATAGTTTATAACAGATTAATTTGGTTTTTAAATAAAACATAAGTATTTAAGTACTTAAAAGCAAATCAAATTTTATCATTAATAAAATATTTTGAAACAACTAATTTGAATGTGCTACTGAGACACTAAAAAAATAAAATTTTTGTTTCAAATTACTGTAGAAGAATAAGCAGATTTTTGTCTTCCATGCTTTTTAGGATTTGACAGAAGAAAATATTTGTATATTAAGCTAGTACAGCATATTTTTTTATCTAGCCCAGGGAGAAGACGCCCCTGAAATCGCAGGAAAAACAATAAAATATAGCCTATAGTTTTATGGACAATGAAAATAGAACAATACATAAATAATAAAAAAGTAAAAATAATTTCTAATACTAATAAATACAGTATGACCGACTATTGACTAAGTAAAAATAGATAGCTAAACTACTGAAACAAATAAAATGGGGATCGAGCTGGTCTAGTGGTTAGAGCGTGGGACTTTGGTTCCTGAGGTCCCTGGTTCAAATCCCACCTAATCACCAATGGATTTGGGTAGACCCGTACTGCGCCAGGTCTAAATAATCCCTCTTTAGCAAACGCCCGTACTGCGCCAGCACTAGTCCAGGTAGGCGAGGGGGCGCCTTCTGGTTAACCCACACCCTTACGCATCATTGGTATTGCGAATGTAAACAAACATCACAGCTTTCGTTATTTCACCCTTGTCGCTAATTTAACAAATCTTGCTCTTTACCTCAGTGCCATTGAGGAATCACAATTAGATACATGTTTAGCAATCAACGGTGCTTTGGAAAATGAAAAAAGTACAAGAAAGAAAGCCACGCTTCTTTGACAACAGTTTGTCAAAACAAAAATTAATCAATTAAGAGCCGGTGACTTGGACCTACTTTGTTTCTTGAAGTGTGTTGCTATCAATTTTGCACCCATTTAGGCCTAAACAAAAACATTACTTTTTTGCTACACTACTGTGAAATGGCCTTTACACCATATACAAAAGCAGGTACTTTTCCATCGGTACTTTTCTTACGACTATTCTCCATTTTTAGGCGTTTCCGTGATAGCAAGTAATAATATCGGTCGTTTCTGTCATCACAGAAAATTGTCACGGATGTTACGCACGCATTTGCTTCCCATTTTATCACTTTAGCTAGTGGGATGGTGCTCAGAATGTTTACTTAACTAATTTGCTTTAGTTGAACGCTAAATTAATTATTTTACCGTGGAAAGCGTGACATTATATCGCAATTGAAATTTTGAAAGGTTTTCTATTAATACGGTTGCAAAAAATACTGAATTACTAATTCATCAACTTAAATGTGTCTTCGAATCATTGCTGTATCTTGTTTATCGCTTTTGCCATAGTTTTTCATACAACCGATTTATTTTTGTTACCATGGATATTGAAAACTGCATTTATATTAATTCAATCAATACACGCAGTAATTTCAACGAAACATGGTTTAATAAAAATATGCCTATATAAGTAACTTCTTTGTATTAAACAAGTGGATCTGTCATCTCCTAAGAAGATTGTTCAACCCGGAAGACATGGGATCTGACCTCTCAACGTTCAAGAGTAAGAGATTGTCACGTCACGTCAAATATTTGGATATACACGGCTACGTTGTACTATTTGATTGAGTAAGTACACGTCTATGGAGTGTTAATATAAGAGCAATAGCCTACATATAAATAGAATGTAATTGTGTAATTGTTTATGTTAATAGGACTAAATCTAAAGCAATACAAATCGCTCGAAATGTATAGAGTAATTTGTAGTTTTAAACACAAACTTAGCACACAACATCTACAGAAGGAAGTAAAACGTTAGGAAGCAATACATTATTTTGAGACTTTGAAGTTGGACGACAAAGATATCAATTTGGTAAATTTGATGCGTAATAATAACGTAATCTATTTGATTAGTAATATCAATAAGGTCGTAACACTATGTGTTGGGCATCACCCTACACTAGATCCAAACATCTACAGTATCTAGAAAACAAAACAAGAATAGACATATTAGACGATAAGTTATTCCTAGATATTGGATAATTAAGTCGGTCCCTCCATTATGATTATGTTGATTAAATTAAATCAAATATTTTGTTATCCAATTTGTAAACTCAAATCTCTCTGGATTTTGAAATTTGGATTACTTTACCACGTCGTATTGTCATCCGATTTCATGTTAAATATTATCCTTTTTTTTAAATTGAGAGAAAATTTCCGGTTAAACGTTTGCATTATATTGTCAAAGGATATCTCATTGAGACATAAGAGGTCGACTAAAGTGTGTGATATGTTTACTTCCGAATCTTTCATATTACCATTATTACCTTCAGTTGTAATATGTTACGAGTTGGGGAAATTATGCTTTATAAATGTAAACTGTGACATCTAAAGGAAATATTGTTGAAAAAGATTACTAAATTTAAATGCTAAAATAAACGTCAGAAATTAAAATAAAATATGATTTGTCTCAGATTTAACGCAGGAGTGGGATTGGACTAGAGACTGGAGGAGACAGTATACACGTACGGTATATTATGTTATTTTCTCTAAATTATCATTATGAATTTTAAGCCGCTCCTCGAGTCGAGTCACAGCTTGTCAGAGATTTGGATTTTTTTGATACCACGATCACACCAATTAGCCCAGCCAATAAATGTTTTTTATCGCAACTAAATGGTGGAAAGCTGGATTTTTTATATGTGATAGAACCACATGAGATGTGTATTTTCCCAAAAGTCCCCACTTCTACCCCTTGAGCTTTCCCCCCCACCCCCCTCCAAACATAGAAATTGCAGTGTTTTACTTAATTGATCATAATTCGAATGCTATGCAAGCTATCGAGCTGCAATTAGTTTTGTTTTATTTCTGATTAGTTTTCCTACAACTTTTGTTTCTGTAACATTTTTCTAAAACCAATATTTAGGGAGATATAAAATTTAAACTTCGTTAAAAGCTTTGTTTCAGAGTGCAAAATTTTGTTTTCCCAATGTATACTTTTAAATTGAAATAATACGTAAATATGGTCCAAACAAAAGTTTTAGTACGTTTTTCAAGGTTTACAAAAATATTATTGGTTAGTCATCTAGGTGACCGGGTGAAGAGCTGGGCGTCGGCAAAGAGAGCGCGTGCGGGCTAGTTGGACACTTCTGCGCTGCGTCATCGCATCTATCCCAGCCAATA